CGTGGTCCTGCAAGACTGGAAAATGTATTGAAACATAGCCTCAATATTTACAATTACGTGGAGGAACAGAAAAAAACAAGACAAGGAAGGATATGAACACAAACTTGATATTACACTGGCAAATCTTGGCAAGAAGAGTGCGAAAGAAAGTGCAAGACGACAACGCGACTATGCTGCGAACGTGGAGAAACAACATGGAAAGAGTCTCAGTGTTTCGGCGCGACAGAGGCAGCAAGGCGTAGACATAACTCCATATATGGCTGGCAGAGTCAGTCGTCTTCGCAAAGTGTCTGAAAGCCAAAAATATGAACGCAATGGTTCGAGAACTTCTCGATGAAAGCGACAAGGCCGCATACAATGAAGGCAAACCTGTGTCTATCACGTACACCAGTATTAGGGCTCTGATTGCCAATGACGTTGTCAGAAGATGGAAGGAGGAGCACAGGGACAAACCAGACGAAAAAGAGCTTCGAAAAACATTTCAGCCAATATCTGATGCAGAAGCTGTTCAGAAGGACTAGGCCCATTTCAAATACTTAAGCTTATTATTTTATTGCTGTTCAAAAACTCTTTATTGATTGCTGAGTGCTGTTCAGTTTATGTGCTGTCTCCTCTGGCGTCGGTAGTTAGGTGATACATCACTATTTTCGTCAATTCGTTTATGACACAAAAAGCGACTCATACGACTACAAGATACGTTTGCGCGCCACAATCGCGCATCAAAGTTCTCCAAGTGGGACTGTGGAGCGCTAGAATCCTCGTAGAAGTCAAATCGCGTTCTGTAAACAAGGGATTTTCCAAGGGGAAATCGTTGAACTCACTTTTGTGATTGAATCATCAATTCAAGCCAAACATTAATCAAATAGGAACAATTTCATTCAAAGTATACCTAACACAGGAGGACTATTGTTGTGAAAGTGTTGTACAATTGATTAAGAATTTAGATGGCAGAGAGTTTGTTCTGAGCGATAAAAGCAGTCACGATAGAGCACATTTTGCTTTATTCTAACATTCAATCACAAAAGGCAACAAAACAAATTTACGTCAAGAACAGCACTGCCTTATCTACAAAGGAGTGAGGGATTCGTTGACAAGAGAACTGTCAAATCAAACATCATGCTTAAGTTTGTGACAAAAGCGATGGATATCAAGCTTCGAGGTCAAGCCGATTTCACGACTACTCTTGAAGACCCAATCGAACTCTTGAAACCTATTGAACAATTAATGAAGAAGAGTGCCAATGCTGAGTATGACTTCTTGGATTTCTGGAAAGCCAATCAAAAGTTCTTTGCTATGAAGCAAGGAACAACCAAAAACTTGATGCATTTCAAGGAACAATTCTTGAGACAGGCTGAAGTCCTGCAAGATCTATATGGCGTTGCCTGGTTCCAAAATTTTGCAGTCAAGACAAAAGCGTATGCTGTTATTGCTAGCACCGATACTACTGCTAAAGACAAGTTCAAGGATGATATCTTTGAAGCCGTTCTTGCAACAGTATTCCTGTGCAATTGTGATCGAACGAGAACAGCTCCTCTGATGCTGGAACCGATGATATTGGGAGCCTCGTTACCGATCTGGAGGATCTACAAGAACCGCCAGAAGAAGAGATTGTATTTGAGCCTGAAGAGCCTCAAATAGCAAAGGTCACTTGATCTGGGCAAACGTATGCACAAGCTATAATGTCAGGGTTGAACCTTTCTCAGGTTCCAAAGAAACCAAGAGGATGACCATCGAGCAGGAGTGGCAGTTCTGCCAGTAAGAACAAGAATCGAGTTGCGACAAGACGCAAGCATCAAGAAAGGGAAGTGAAACTGTTGAAGGACAAATTGAAGTCTGGTATTTGTACCAAAGAGGGAAGTCCCAGTACTAAAGACAGTAAAGCTATCCTTGAAGCACAGCACAATCTATGTTTCCAACAGATTGGGAATGAGATGAAAGCTGATTATGAAGAGCACGACGCTATTCTGATCGCTCGTTGTCTGATGCAGATCAAGGCAAAGTTTGATACCGACGAAGGTCTGAGCTTCATTCAACAGTATTACATCAATCAAGGACTGAAGAAGCTTGGTGACAATGGAAAAGATGCTGTGGATAAGGAATTGAGACAAATGATCCTGAGAGATTGTTTTACTCCCAAATTTGTGAAAGACATGACTGCGTCTGAGCGAAAGAAGACCCAATCAGCGATGATGTTACTCGCGGAAAAGCAATTTGAAAAGACAATTAAAGGTCGCCTAGTATACCGAGGCAATGGAACTCGTGAATGGTTATCGCGAGAGGACACTGCAAGTCAAACTGCTTCACAAGAAGCAATCACCATTACTTGTGTTATTGATGCACACGGAGGTAGAGATATAATTACGATGGACGTGCCTCATGCTTTCATTCAAACTTATATGCCTGAAGCTAAGGAAGGAGAAAATTGTATCTACATGAAAATCACTGGCATGATGGTCCAGATATTGATTGACATGGCCCCAGGGTATCGCGAATACGTTGTTTTAGAGAACGGAAAGCGAGTAATCTATGTGCAGGTACTACGTGCTAGATATGGGATGTAGCAATCGAGCCTCCTATTCTATAATCAGTTTCAAAGTAATTTGGAGGCAAAGGGATTTGTTTTCAATCCGTATGACCCGTGTGTTGCTAACAAAGTTGTTGATGAAAGACAGCAAACTATCAGATTTCATGTTGACGATCTTATGTCAAGTCACATGGATCTGAAAGTAAATGACAAATTTGCTAAGTGGTTGAACATGAGATATGGTTCACACAGATATCTTGGAATGACTTTGGATTTCTTGGTGAAAGGAAAACTCAAGATCCGCATGGACGACTATGTCAAGAATATGTTGGAAGATTTTCCTATCAAGTTCAACAAGGATTCAAAGCAGGAAACACCAGCTGCTAACGCTTTAATGGAGGCTGGTAAAGGAAAGTTACTCAATGCTGAGTACCCTCAAATCTTTCATACTACTGTTGCAAGGGGACTTATGTCTCTAAGAGAGCTCGTTTGGATATCCATCCAACAATTACTATTCTTGCCTCAAGAGTTTGAGAACCTGAGTCTGATTGGAAGAAGTGTGTTCGCATGATGCAATATTTGTTTTGTACATTGTTGTATCACCTGACACTTTCCGAAGAATCACTATGAGTCATGAAATGGATGATCGACGCATCTTTTGCGGTGCATCCAGATTTCAAGAGCCATGATGGCGGCACTCTGTCTTTTGGAGGAAGTGCAGCTCAAGTGATGTCGAAGAAAGAAAAACTAAACAGTAGTAGCAGTACGGAAGCGGAACTGGTTGCTGTTGACGATGTTGTCACTATGATATTTGGGACTAAGTTGTTCATGGAGTGGCAAGGGTGTCCGATCGAGAAGAATATCTTGTATCAGGATAACAAAAGCGCAATTCTACTGGAAGAGAATGGTCGCAAGAGCGCGGGCAAAAGAAGCCGAGCTATCAATATTCGTTATTTCTTTATCACAGATCAAGTTGAGAAGGGAATAAGATCAAATTCTGTCCAACTGACAATATGATTGCGGATTTTATGACTAAGCCATTGCAAGGTGAGAAGTTTCGCAAGTTCAGGGATCTGATTCTTGGTCCACAGGAATAGGTCAGACAAGTATGTATATGTTCAAAATACAAAACAAAACAAAACAAAAAGTGAATGAGAGCATGTCCCATTGCTGCCAATGGTGATTGTCACAATGGCAGGAGTGTGTTGGGATATGACGAAATATGAGTTTTTACGTTCCAAAAGAAACTTTTCAATTACAAAGTTTTTGACACGTACGATCGGACTTTGATCGTGATGTTGGGATTCGACGCAAGTCTGCCGGACAATCTGTATCCACACAAAAAGGGAAAGACCCTATACAAGTGGAATATCGATGTTGTGTACAATGCAGTAGGGAATAATACAAGATGTCCCAAAGTACTGCATTCAACACAGAATCCTCGTAGAAGTCAAATCAAGTTCTGTAAACAAGGGATTTTCCAAGGGGAATCGTTAAACTCAATTTTGTGATTATGATTCAATCCAAACATTAATCAAATAGGAACAATTTCACTCAAGGTATAACTAACACAGGAGAACTGCAATGTCGTGAAAGTGTTGTACAATCGATTACAAATTTAGATTGCAGAGATTTTGTTCTGAGCGCTAAAAGCACTCACGATAGAGCACATTTTGCTTTATTCTAACATTGCAGTCTTGCAAGGCATGATTTTGGAAACTTTGGGTTTTAAGTTCTTGACCCAGGTGTAAACGGAGGACACTGTGTATTGGACCAGGGGTCCTAGAACAGGATCCTTTTCATGCTTCTCTTTCAGATCTCTATTCAACAGATCTGTTGCAATCTCAATGGAGCTGCCGGTCTCCACCATGTTTGCAATTGCAGTCTCGGCAATAGATCCAGGTTCAATATTTGGTTTGCGACCTCGGCCATTCCTCACTGCTGGGTCATAGACACCGCCAGATTCAAAACACTTCATAATGTCTTCTCCATTTTGGTGTTTTTAGGAAGTTTTAGGTCTTTTCTAATCTTGGACTGGATATGTATGTGCAATGTACTGGAAAATATTTAAAGGGCGCAAAAATTTGCCCGTTTGCGCGCATGTCGTGCATACAGACACGAAGGTAATATAAATTACATAGGCAAACGGAAACCCTCGACCTTGGGGCTCTAAAGGCTTTTGCTGTAGTGCCTGATCCAGAAAACTTAATTGACCACGGTCTTGACAAATATATTTAGGAACCTGTTGCAAGGGGAATTATTGGCATAGCTGCTTTCCCCAGGAAGAGTTAGAGCCCCAGTAAAAACGTGTCACTATATTCCAAACGTACCGTAAGTATATTCAATTTGTCTTCCGTCTCGCCGATCAAATAACAAAAAACGGAGGGGTACTAAAGTATCAGAGGCTTATATGGGGCAAACATCATCATTGTTGATCATGGTCTACCTACCCCACAATTTACTTCGTCATGTTGGCATTCTCCAAGAACGACCGCAGTACGCAAATCCCATACAAATAAAATAAATATATTGACAGGACTATCTTCGTTCTGTACCACCAATGGGTGTTCAAGCAGTTTTCAGAAAACAATTGAGTTGTCCTGCCAACATATATTGTTTGGCTTTTGGTAGATTTGATTCAATTTCAAGAGCTGTTTCACTTGGCTTTGACAGTCTTTTTTGAAAAAAGACTATTAACACATTAGGATGTGATACAGTCCAAATCAATTTTTGGAAACTCGCCGTAGATTTGCGTAGAATCCAAGTTTCTGGTAGGATGTGTCATGAATCATGCCTAGAATGGTACCTCTAAATTTTGCGCGCACCTTTGTGGCTATTCGTAGAAATTGTACCAAATGGAAGAAACACAAAACTTCCATTTCCATCGTCAACCTCCTGGAGGCTCGTTAGCATCAACAAAACATTGTTGTGCAAGAATTTTTTTGAATATTCTCGTTCATTAGGCCCAAAATCGAAAAAATCCTTTCACAACGAAAGATCGCACCAGGATGCCATCTTCTGAGAAACTGGAATTGCTACAAGTAGAGTTCATGATGGGCACAACAAAATTGTTCTTGTCGACAACGAAGTTGTCTTCTCGTTTTTATTTATTGAAAAAAATGGACGATGACCGATGATAATAAGAAGTCGTTAAGTGTCACCAATCGCGAAACCCGAAGGATATTGTAGAAGCCCAAAATGACCTGCTCCCACCTATATGGTACAGATGACTATTTCCCGTCACCCAATTCACAAAACGAATGCAAGCTACATAATATAGGTACCGGTATTACCAGGTACCCCCTGAATCACACTCGCGAGCGCTATTATCATCAACCGGAGAAGGAGTATTTGAAAATCCGAACAAGCGGTGGCGCATTATTATGATCCCATGAACTTTATGTGGCTTGAAGCGTAAAACAAAACAATGAAAAGCCGGACCATTGGAGCAGTTGTAGCTGGAATGTAAGGATGCTGCACTTTCATTTCCATCGAATTTTCTGGCTCCTCCTGCCTCGGCAATAGTGAAGCAACTTTTACATGTAAAAGCTGGCCCATTTAGCTAGGTAGTTATTCTAATTTTAAAAATTACACAATATATTATACAAGAAGCCCAAACATCGTGTTCACACTCTTTGTTTTGACAGCAGTTGCGGTTCAAACACAAAACCCAACGATTCCAACGTTTGCAAGCGGTGGATGGTCATGCTGGACGACGCCCCAGATTTGTAGAGCTTGTATTGACGGCGTTGACACTTTGCCCAAGTGGAGAGTCCAACATTCTCTGGATAGTCCGATGGTACATTGCAGTGTCCCGTTCGTTGCTTGAAGGCCTTGAGTTCATTGAACTTTTCCTGCCACGCAGAAGCATGGGATTGCCATATAAAGCCAATCGATTCGAGGTCTTGGATACGACGAGTGGTCATCGTAGAGGTAGGATTGTTATCGTTGAACTTCTTGTATTGATATCGTTGTCTCTTGACCCATCGTGCGAGGACAGGATCTTCTTGGTAAGAATGAGGAACGCAGCAGTGCCCATTCCTCATCTTGTATTGGATGAGTTTTTGGAACTGATCTCGCCATTGCTTCTCTTGATAGGGGCGAAAGCGAGCTGTGCTTTCTTCGTCTCCAAAAGTACTTTGCACATGGCTTGTCGTTCGTTGGCGCTTGTTGCATGGGTCGCCTTGGTGGTTATGGTTGGAGGATAAGAAGAAGCCTTCGCGGCTTCGCTTGGAGCTCGCAACGATGCTGCAGTAGGATCCCTCATCGTTCTGCGAAGAAAAATCTCCGAAACTTCGTTTGGAGGCGACTTTGCCGGTAGTGTCATTAAAGTTTTCCGTTTCAAGGTAAGAAGAAAATATGGTGGAGTCATCCATCATCATGAAACTGGAATCATACAATGATTGCGTTTGAGGGGCCGTGTGAGTGTCTGGTTCCTTTGGTCGGAGTGGCGATGGCTCCATGTTTGGATCATCGAAAGGGTCCTCAAAAGACGACACGGGTAGATGAAAGCAAGAAGAAGGAGACAGACTTATTGTTCTCGTATCCAAGAAGCCATCTTCTATGACACTTGAGTAGCTGTAGCTATCACTACGAACTCTGTTGTTGTTGGAACTGGCGATAAAATTCATGAGATGGAAAGAAGTGAAAATAGGTATTTTATGAGTCGACGATGAGACCCAATATTGTGAGGTTGGCTGTGTTCAGACGATCGACAGGGCCTTTTAAATACATAAACTTCTTATCGTAGATATTTAACGATGCTGGAGAAACGAGAAGTCGTGTAGTCATACATCGCGCAATCGGAGGGAGTGTATTTAAAATACCTACTAGAAATATGACCATTTCCCGTCACCATTTTCGGAACAATGAAAAATCAGGAGGTGGACTTCTTTTGGCCAAGAAGGCTTTTGAACTTACCAGTATTCAAGCTAGACTACGAGTAAAGGGACAAGTTGAAAGTTGACTAAGCAAGAAGAATCTTAGAGCATAAGGTAAATTATCCTTTAGCTAGTAGAAAGTTACTCTACGCTCAACAAATCCGCCCTATCTTGTTTGGATTCTTTAAAATATATCGTGTTTGCATCTACTAGAAGTTTTGACTGCAGTTTGTGGTTCAAACACAAAACCCAAGGATTCCAACGTTTGCAACCGATGGACAGTCATAGCGGTTGTAGAAGGAGCAGAAGCACCAGCGGCGTACAATTTGTATTGACGACGTTGGCATTTTACCCACGTCGCCAATGTAGGATTTTCGCAGTAGTCCGATGGAACATTGCAGTGTCCCGTTCGTTGCTTGAAGGCCTTGAGTTCATTGAGCTTCTCCTGCCACGCGGAAGCATGGGATTGCCATATAAAGCCAATAGACTCAAGCTCTTGGATACGACGAGTAGTCATCGTAGAGGTAGGATTGTTATCATTGAACTTCTTGTATTGATATCTTTGTCTCTTGACCCATCGTGCGAGGACGGGATCTTCTTGGTAAGAGTGAGGAACACAGCAGTGTCCGTTCTTCATTTTGTATTGGATTAACTTTTGGAGTTGAGCTCGCCACTGCTTGTCTTGGTAAGGGCGAAAGCGAGGTGTGCTTTCTTCGCCAAAAGTGCTCTGCGCAGCATGGCTCGTCGTCGTTCGTTGGCGTTTGTATGCTGGGTTCTCCTGGTTGCCTTGGTTGTTGTGGTTGGAGGATAAGAAGAAGCCTTCGCGGCTTCTCTTGGAGCTCGCAACGGTGCTGCAGTATGGTTCCTCATCGTTATGGGAAAAGAAATCTCCGAAGCTTGTTTTGGAGCCAACTTTGCTGGTGGGATCAATGGTGGGACCAACTTTGCTGGTGTCATTTGACTTATTGTCCTCTTCGGAAAAGATAGACTCATCTACCAATAATCTCGTATCATACAATGATTGCATGCTCCTATCATACAACGATTGCATTATTTGATGCGCGTTGTGAGTACCCTCGTCTTGTGATTCGATTGGCGATGGCTCCATGCGTGGATCATCAAAGGGGTCGTCAAAAGAAAAAGGAGGCAGGTGAAGGTAAGAAAGAGACGAACATGGTCCATCCATAGACAGCAAAGGGCTTGTAAGGAGTGACACAAGTTCGTCATCTTCGATCTTGGAAAAGCTGAAGCTATCGCCTCGAAGATTGTCGTTGTTGGCAGTCACGATCATGATGAAGAGGAATAATGAGTAATGAGAGAAATAATAAAATAATAAAACCGCGTGTAAATAGACGAAAGAATTATGTGGATTTGTTGCCGTTTTTACGCCACCATTTTTGTGACTGATCAGAAGTTGTAAATACCTGAAACTCGTCGTGTATTTCCATTCCTTGGTCGAGTTTAATTTGATCAGAAGGTAACACAAAGTAAAAATAACCTTTGTGAACCACAGAATTCGCCAAATACGAGACTAATTTCTCTTTACCTGAAGTAATGAAATAAATGTACTTCATTATTCGTGCGGATAAAGCGGAACCGCGAGCACGCGACAAAACAGACGTCATTCTATGGACGATGGCCGTATTTTGTTAGTGATATTCAACATTAATCAGACACCTCGCCATCTGTCAGATATCATGTTGTATTTGTATTCCGATTTAACTCGATTTGATCAGAAGGTGTCGCTGAGAAAAAACCACCTCGTGAACTTCAAAACAAAAAAGAAACTTAATTCTGAATTGAATACGTGTGTAAGGTGAAGATGGTAACAGTCACTATCGTATTACGTTGTTGTTGTGAATCGTTGTCGGATTCCTTTTAATTGTGATGTGGATAATTGCATGTTTATCCAAACGGATCGTGAACGTGTTCGCGTGTCGAACCCGTTCCTCGCCAATATATACATTACTTATTGGCCGTGCATGACAGAGAACAAGCTGGACATCTGCTTGTGTCTCTGACTCATCATGTGACATCTACGACATGCCTGACATCAAAACACTCCTCTCAAGTTGTTCGCATTACCTTGAAGGCGGACGACTTGCATTGCTTAATCCATTTTGGATATCAACAAACGACGGGGTAGAGCAGGTGTTATTCAGCCACTGACATGTAACAAATGGTAGTACCATCTCTTCTGGTAGGTTCGATATGGGGCATTCTACTCCTCGTCCAGTATAAAAAGAAAAATGGGGGGACTTCCGTCGATCAATCCACTCAAGAATGCAAAATGTCACAGTGCCGCTCAGTCTTTGACATTGACTTTCACGTTAGCCGACACTTTGGCATAGCTTATCTTCCCTTTCTTGGGGGATCCCTTTCCACTCTGCTTCTTGCTATCTCTTAGCAGGATGCCTGCGGCTTGGGCTGCTTTGCCAGCTGGAGTCAGTCGCCACTCCGCAAGTTCCTTTCTCTCGTCGTTTCCAAGTTTCTGGTACTCTGGTAGGGTGTGGAAGCGAAGATGGAGGCCGGTACGCTGGCCTTTACCTCCTCCAACTCCCACAGATGCAATGTCAACATCACCAGTGTCAACCTCAAGAGCAGAAATTTCTGCACTCTGGCGCTTGCCTCCTAGGTTTCGCTTGGCAACCGGGCAATGAGGCTGAATATGGGCCGAAGCCAATTCAAAATCAGCAATCATTACGTTGCTAGCTTGGACCATTGCAATTGCCGCATTCAATCGAGCATCACTGGAAAGAATTCCATCAAGTAGTTGTTTGACACGCGTCTGTTGGTTAGGCAACTGGTATGCAACATGTTCTGACGCAGAAACGAGGTGTTGGTATGCATTGCGGTGCACAGCAATGTATGCCTCGACTGTCAAGTTACCAGCTCCTTTCCACTTTGCGTTGCGCATCATGTTATCATACTTAGTGATCTCTGATAGCCACTTGTCATCACCGAGATAGGTTTTGATAAGGGCAAAGTAGGCTTTTCGGCCTTGTCCCTTCGCACGAAAAGGCTCGATACAGGAGACATAGTTCGTGGATCTCACAGCTTCATCAAGCTTCTGAAAAAGAGTCTTATCATCCGTTTTGAAGGATGGACAAGGCGTTTGAACGAATCTTGACCAAAATGAGGGATGTTTTGAATGTAGCTGATTCGCTTCCTCATGGCCGATACGTCATCCTTGGTGTAGTCGGCAAAACTCTCGAATGTTGTCAAGCCATCAAGTTCCAGTTGGTCCCGTATATCCTGCACGATGCGCATCTGGACCTCTTGCTCCCAGAAAGCAGTCATCGCTGCTGGATCGATTTGCACCATAGTTGTAGCTTATTTGGGTCTGATAAACTGAATTGAATACGTGTGTAAGGTGAAGATGGTAACAGTCACTATCGTATTACGTTGTTGTTGCGAATCGTTGTCGGATTCCTTTTAATTGTGATGTGGATAATTGCATGTTTATCCAAACGGATCGTGAACATGTTCGCGTGTCGAACCCGTTCCTCGCCAATATATACATTACTTATTGGCCGTGCATGATAGAGAACAAGCTGGACATCTGCTTGTTTCTCTGACTCATCATGCGACATCTACGACATGCCTGACATCAAAACACTCCTCTCAAGTTGTTCGCATTACCTTGAAGGCGGACGACTTGCATTGCTTAATCCATTTTGGATATCAACAAACGACGGGGTAGAGCAGGTGTTATTCAGCCACTGACATGTAACAAATGGTAGTACCATCTCTTCTGGTAGGTTCGATATGGGGCATTCTACTCCTCGTCCAGTATAAAAAGAAAAATGGGGGGACTTCCGTCGATCAATCCACTCAAGAATGCAAAATGTCACAGTGCCGCTCAGTCTTTGACATTGACTTTCACGTTAGCCGACACTTTGGCATAGCTTATCTTCCCTTTCTTGGGGGATCCCTTTCCACTCTGCTTCTTGCTATCTCTTAGCAGGATGCCTGCGGCTTGGGCTGCTTTGCCAGCTGGAGTCAGTCGCCACTCCGCAAGTTCCTTTCTCTCGTCGTTTCCAAGTTTCTGGTACTCTGGTAGGGTGTGGAAGCGAAGATGGAGGCCGGTACGCTGGCCTTTACCTCCTCCAACTCCCACAGATGCAATGTCAACATCACCAGTGTCAACCTCAAGAGCAGAAATTTCTGCACTCTGGCGCTTGCCTCCTAGGTTTCGCTTGGCAACCGGGCAATGAGGCTGAATATGGGCCGAAGCCAATTCAAAATCAGCAATCATTACGTTGCTAGCTTGGACCATTGCAATTGCCGCATTCAATCGAGCATCACTGGAAAGAATTCCATCAAGTAGTTGTTTGACACGCGTCTGTTGGTTAGGCAACTGGTATGCAACATGTTCTGACGCAGAAACGAGGTGTTGGTATGCATTGCGGTGCACAGCAATGTATGCCTCGACTGTCAAGTTACCAGCTCCTTTCCACTTTGCGTTGCGCATCATGTTATCATACTTAGTGATCTCTGATAGCCACTTGTCATCACCGAGATAGGTTTTGATAAGGGCAAAGTAGGCTTTTCGGCCTTGTCCCTTCGCACGAAAAGGCTCGATACAGGAGACATAGTTCGTGGATCTCACAGCTTCATCAAGCTTCTGAAAAAGAGTCTTATCATCCGTTTTGAAGGATGGACAAGGCGTTTGAACGAATCTTGACCAAAATGAGGGATGTTTTGAATGTAGCTGATTCGCTTCCTCATGGCCGATACGTCATCCTTGGTGTAGTCGGCAAAACTCTCGAATGTTGTCAAGCCATCAAGTTCCAGTTGGTCCCGTATATCCTGCACGATGCGCATCTGGACCTCTTGCTCCCAGAAAGCAGTCATCGCTGCTGGATCGATTTGCACCATAGTTGTAGCTTATTTGGGTACTGATAAACTGAATTGAATACGTGTGTAAGGTGAAGATGGTAACAGTCACTATCGTATTACGTTGTTGTTGTGAATCGTTGTCGGATTCCTTTTAATTGTGATGTGGATAATTGCATGTTTATCCAAACGGATCGTGAACGTGTTCGCGTGTCGAACCCGTTCCTCGCCAATATATACATTACTTATTGGCCGTGCATGATAGAGAACAAGCTGGACATCTGCTTGTGTCTCTGACTCATCATGTGACATCTACGACATGCCTGACATCAAAACAATTCTCCTCCGCAGTAGAACAATAAAGCGAATGTGCCGAAACCGCGACCACCTATTAAAGCAGATGTCATTCGATCGTGTTTTACTCGTACCTTGCTCGTACCTACTGGTATTTTCAGATTTTCCCCTACGAAACGCGAAGCGACGAGAACTCGTATCTGTTCCGGCATGTATCATCGAGCTGAGCCACCATTTTAGTGAGCCATCTCGCCGTGTCATGTGTTTCTTCAGAATATCTCCAATTCTTGTGGCTCGGTCTTTCTCCAACTTTCTACCAGTATACGTATAATGAAGACTGAAGCGGTTACTTTGAGGACCAGAAGTAGAAACATGGAAAATTCCAGCTCCTTTAGCTAGTAGCTAGTAGGCAGTTACTCTTATGTTCATTTACTAGACCAGTTAGACTTTTAATTTGAGTCCCATCGTTTAGACAGTTGTGGTTCAAACACAAAATCCAAGGATTCCAACAGTTGCAAGCGATGCATCGTCATGGGAGAAGGAGAAGACGACCCAGAGATGTACGCTTTGTAATGGCGACGTTGGCATTTTACCCAAGTAGAAAGGGAATTATTCTCGGGGTAGGCAGATGGTACATTGCAGTGGCCCGTTCTTTGCTTGAACTCCTTGAGCTCATTGAACTTCTCCTGCCACGCCGAAGCGTGCGAGTGCCATACAAAGCCAACAGATTCAAGCTCCTGGATACGAGGAGTTGACATGGTAGAGGTGGTGTCACCATCCTGGAACTTTTTGTATTGGTATCTTTGTCGCTTCACCCATCGGGCAAGAGCAGGATCCTCAGGGTAACAGTGAGGAACGCAACAGTGTCCGTTTTTAAGCTTGTATTGGATGAGCCTTTGGAACTGAGCTCTCCATTGCTTGTCTTGATAGGGCCGAAAGCGAGGTATGCTTTCTTCTTTATTGCTGGTGGCTTGCAGTTGAAACGTCCGTTTGCGGTTGCCTGAGCCGCCTAGGTTGTGGCTGGAGACGAAGCCTCCGAGACACTTTTTGGATTGCGCAAATATGCTGCTCTTATCTTCTTGTCCAAGGGTGGTGTTGTTTGACATGCAATCGTCTCTGAGACAGATTGATTGCGCTTGAGGCCCATTATGATTAGGGCTAGTTGAAAGTCGACCTTGTGATCTCAGAGGCGAAGGTTCCATTCGCAGATCATCGAATGGATCCTCGAAAGACGAAGGCACACGGAATTGAGGAGACGTAATCATTGATGCATCCAATGACAGCAAAGGGCTTCTCAGAAATGAAAGTATGCTTTCATCCTCAGCGATAGTTGAGTAGTCGTTTTCGGTACTAGAGAACATGGTAGTAAACAATTCCCTGCAAATGTTGAACCTGCAAATGTTGAATGATGAAGTCGAAGGAAGAATTGTGAGTTGAGCTGCGCGTAAGGAACGCTACTGTTTTTCAAGAGCCTCATTTTAAACCCGTTGACATTTTTGGTTTTGATTGGAAGCGACGGATTAGCACTGCGAAAAAGACTTCTTATCGGCAACATTTAGGACAGAGTAGTGTCTGTTTATGCGAAGCCTTTAAGTGCCGGAAATTTCCAAAAGAGAAGGGTTGGGTGGGTTATACTGCCGTATTATTTTTTATGCAGCACCTGGTACCAGGTTCTCGTATCATTTTGTACCTGTACCACACCGCGCCAATGGATCGAAAACGGGATCAAATCACAATAACCGCTGTGTCGCGCAAGCCAAGTACAGACAATTGCAGGTACACGTAGCGCATGTACACTACTGTGTCTACTGTTGGACAAACTCAGATTGGGCAGAAGCAGATCTCTAGCAAATTCCAACTATCACCCACCATCCCAGCTCCAAGAGTAAAAAGCCTTTTCTCGAAAGGGTAGTGGTGAAGGATAACGGACAAGCCCCATGACGACCCTCCCTTTATTAGTTATGAGTACAGAGCCACCAAGTTTATTCACACGATCAACCAAAACATGATGAGGACAGTTCAACCCTGACCATTTCCAGCGCAACGCGTTCGCTATGATGTCAGCAAGTCCTATCAATATGGAGAATGTAGCGTTCCCCGCGATGGCTGCCGCGTCGCATCACAAACATGAAAGAAGAAAAAAAAGCAATTGTATCAACAAGAAATCGTATTGGGTCAACGGAAGCCACGTGGACGAAACCATCACCTACAACCGATACACCATTGATACTACCGTCTTAGCTCCAACCACAGAATAGTCTGTGAACTTCAACGCCGCCACCAGCAAACTGTTCGACGTGACTAGTGACGTCTACGAATTCACAAGCCTACGCGTCATTGACAACACGGGACAAGCGATCGCTACAGAACCGGGACCAGGACTTCCAGCCCCATTTAGAGCCGCCGCCACATACTTCCGAATCGAGCTCCGATTGGTCCCCTTGCTCTGTTCCCTACAAACTGACATCGGAATCGACCCAACAAAGTTCCCGCTACATTCCAGGACGATCCGCACCACCAAGACCAGGAGGAAGAGCCTTTCGCGGGATTCCACCAACCAGAATTCCAAGGATTCCAGGGATTCCAAGGATTCCAGGACGATCGCTCCTTCCAAGCTGCAGAGATCAAGACTGTGGGAACCTTCCACACCGCAATGATGCCCCTTCCAACTATGGTGGTAAAACAAAACGTTCAAGTCACCAACGTCCAAGGAAGACAATTAGTGGTCCCGACATCCGACAGCAAACTATACTGCCCGGAAGCGGTTGTCAAGATGCTGTCATGCATGAGCATTATGGAGGAACTTGGACAACAACATGAAGAAGAAAATGGGTGGACAATACTCAGCCAAGCGGATGCAACAAGGAAGGCCACAACTTCCGAGACTGCCCACACAAAGAGGACCCCCAAGTCCTAAAACGGTTCTACAAAAAACTGGACCAGTGGAAACAATGAAAGAACGACGAACGCAATGAAAGTAGAAATAACAATTCCCATTATAGACAAGGAGGGTATAGGACCCAAGAAATCTGCGACACAGTCCGAGCCATTTAGGATCCATAGACGGAATTGGGGGAGAGGACAAACCTGTTGGTGAATCTCGTTGAAGCGGTCACAGCCCACACTTCCACAGCAGCAGCAAGGAAAAGACCAAAACGAGCCGCAACCCAGCCGGCACTACCATTCGTCACCTTTGGAAGCTTTGCGGCCATGGAACAAGCCCACCAACTGAACTTCTCGGTCAACGACATGCTGGCATTTTTGAACTTTCCCATGGGACTCAACGAATCCAACACACCAGCCAACTTGAAAGGACTCTACGACACCGGAGGATGCTGCAACATGGGCAAGAAAGACTACCACCTGGCCATCGCAAAAAACATCCGCACCTTATCAAACAGATCTTCGACCTACAGAAGATCCGCTACGCTCCAATCAAGATTGGAAGAATAAAAGATAGTGTGTCATCATCGAGTACTTCATTCCTTTCGAAAACGGACAGGGAGAGAATCACACTTTGGCGATAGGACTGACAAACGACCTTCCAATCAACACACTTTATGGATTACCATTCATCCTAAAAGCCAAGCTGGTAGCTCAGTTCTACCGGAATGCGGTCATTTCCAACTTCTTCAACCAGGAATTTGACCTCACATTGGAATGCCCGAGACTTCTCCCAACGGAACACGTGGAACGGAACCAATCATCGGATCGCAAAGTATTCTCTGTCAGATTTGACACCACAGACGAGAACCTTTGACAAAGACGGGAGAGAACTCCAACAGACTTCCGCCAACGAGCACTGGAAGCAGGATACGACAAACAGATCAGCAGAACGCAAGGGTTCTCTCCCATCGCCCATCCAATGATCACGACCATCAAGGAAGCGGCATATCAAACGTTTGCAGCAACATCAGCAACCGAGGAAGAAGAAATTATCGCAAGACGGGGACAGCTTCCTGACGGGACGAAGCCAGTCAAAGTTCCAAAGCGGATTTGGAGAGCGCAAGTGAAAAACGTGTACGAAGAACCGGAGGCGGACTTGGACAGTCCCGCAACCCACGATTGGATGTTCAAAGAACACGGAAAGACGGTAATCCACTTCTACATCCTAAGATGTGACGATACAGTGGATACAGTTGGAGATACAAAGTTCTTCATCACAATGGATTTGGACGCAGGCTACTGGCAGATCAAGATGACCACGTCATCAAAAGAGAAAACGGCGTTATTTGTACCAGATGGCAAGCAGCACTTCCTAGTGATGCCAATGGGGATACTAAGCGCCCACGCATTCTTTGTCTGTGTAACCATTCAATTCAAGAAAGAATGGCATGAGTTGTACAAAGAGACCCAAAAGCAGCACTACAAAAACTACTGGACATCATCAACAAGCACAGAGCGGCCATCACGCTGATTCTGGGCGAAAGCGCCGTCAAGGACATTGAAGCAAAAGTGGCAATCGCTCCATTAGAAACGGACCCAAATGCATCAGTAATCATCGTCAATGACATCATGCTATTCGACACCAACATCTTATCACTGATCGCATACTTTGTGGCCACACTTGAAATCCTCCAACGATACCAATTCACTGTCAACCTAAGAAAAAACGAGGTTCCTACCAGCACAAGCAGAATTCGTGGGACGTGACCTACTGCCCAATAGAAACGCCCCGGCACAATTCAAGTACTTGACGATCAAAGAACTATGCCCACCAGCATCCTACTCGGACATCCAGATGATCAACAGACTATTTGGATGGTACTCCCAATGAATACCAGATCTAGAGGAAAAGATCCAACGATGGAGGACCATGGCGATGGACAAACCAAGCCTGGAAAATGAAGAGGAAGCAGAACAAGTGAAAGCACAATGGGAGCCACAGGATGACAAAACGCTGGACAAACTCAAGCAAGCTATTGTCACAGGCCCAATATTGAAGAGACCCAACCCAAAGAGACGATTCTACTTGAAAACGGACTGGTCAAACAACGCCATGGGACCGGTCTTCCTACAAGCGGACACGACAGAAGAAGCAGGAGAGTCAATGAGAAAAGAGATCGAAGGAGGAAAATGTGAGTTTGACAAATCAATGTCAAAACTCAGACTCAGACCAATAGCATTCATATCAAGAATATGCAAGGGCAAAGAGCGAGACAACAGGTCAATGGGCGATGAAGAAGTTCCGACAATGGCTCATCGGAAAAGAATTTACTTGGATCACGGACTGCAGCAGACTAACCAAGTTCTTTGAAGGCAAATACGACATCACACACACGCACTGCAACAATGAAAACTAGAGCTATTGGCATTCATCTTCACTATAGTTCACAGAACAGCGAAGATGCTCACAGAATGCGATCTCCTGTCAAGATACAAGGGCATCCTAAGCACGTGGAGGAATACGGAAGAAGCCCACACAGACAACCCGATCATTGCCGCGGCATGGAAACTTAGAGAAGACAAAGCAATGGATCATTGGAAGATCCCTAGACACCATTGTGAGCAGCTTCGAACTACTTGGAGGAACCATCTTGCTAACAGCTCGCATCAGCGAGGAGGAATATTGGCAGCTACAACATGACATACCAAACATTGAAACGTTTGCCAAAAGGGTGGTCAACAACACAGCACAGCCGCCAGTAGGATGGTTGATTGTAACCAACATGAAAAGATTCAAATCAACAAACTCGGAGGCCCTTCCCACCATCATCAGAAAAGCAACAACACAGGGCGCAACACACTGCATACTCATGTGGACGGGAAAGTCAACCGACAAGATCATCAAGGAATGGGAACAATACATCAAAAGAAAAACTAGAGACAGAACTGACCTACAAACCGTGACAAACACGACCAGAGGCAGCACAGCACAAGCAGACATAGACACCGAACACACCATCATACTCACAGCCGGAAGAAGGAGAGTGATGGAGGCATGGAGCAGAAGTTCAGTCGATGAATACCCATACTCACAGCCAGGAACAATTGAACGCACCAAACGAAAGTTACACGGGATATTTCAACGTGGCAAGACTGGGACAAAACAGAGTCCACACGGTCAACTCACAAGGATACACACAAGTACATGAGATCTAGGATACCACCAAAATCGCCCCCAGCTTCCATACAACACCCATGATCTCAGCGCAAGGCACGATAGCAATTGCAACCAGCGACGCAGAGGTAACATCACCGGTCCAAACAATCAGACCTTGGGAAGCCCTCAGCCTGTTTGGTTTCACAAAAGAGGATAGCAGAAAACTGTTGTTTGAGGAGAAACTCAGTTGGAGAGAGACAAAAGAAACAATGCAGAGCATGGCACCACAACAGGTGTGGCAGCAAGTGTTCACGTACAGCATGTGCAAAAACATTCAGCGACAACACCTATCAGACAAAACAGAACACAAATTCTTGAAAATGTACGCAAGACCAAAACATGCTAAAAACACCTAACAGCTATAGTCAGCAGATCCATCAACCCATTCACAACGCTACCGATCCCAACAGGAGAAGACTGGCAAGAGAAATGCAACGGAGCCCAGACATCAGACACATCATCAAGGCAATCTGCAACAACAAAAAGGTAAACAAATCAAAGCTCACAAACCCAATGTATGCCTCAGAACTCAACAGAGATAAACTAGAGATTGAAAACGGCATCCTATACCAATTCGAAGAACCGAAGTTGGCACCAATGCGTCAGCTGCAACGAGCGGTCGTCCCACCAAGATTGAGAGCAACAATCATAGCAGCATACCACGGATCACCGATGGCAGGACACGTAGGGTTCCACAAGACGTATTACAGGATAGCCGCAAGGTTTTGGTGGCCTGGGATGGCAAAGGATATCAGAGAAGCAGTCCTAGGATGCGGACATTGCAATGCAGCCAATGTGTCGAGCCGCAAAAACCAAAAGATTCTACAACAGACCCCAATAGAAGAACCATTTGACGTATGTTGCATGGACGTTTGGTCGCCAGGTTCAACAAAGAATGCTACCAAACTGTCCACAACTTTGAGGAAGACACTCACAAACAAAGGAGTAGTCACTTACATTTGCAACATGACTGGTTGTGCCACAGTTGCATTCATCAGCTCCA